GTATTCTCTTTTGAGAGTGAATGGGAAAGTGGATTAGCAGGGGTTTTTTTGCAATGTCCTGATCCTTCATTTAGTTGAGAGAATCTCTGAAGAAACCCTCACCCTCACTCTAAATTCCAGTATACCAGGGGTTTGAATGATTGTGCTATAAACTGAAAATGAGATCTTCCAAAAGGTGCCAAATGGGCACTGGGTATTAGATTTATTCCATGTTTTCTTGTTCAGCCTTGCTATACTTGATAGAATTTCACTAAATAATAAATTCTTCTCTCTGTTATTTGTGTGTGTGATTTTTGTAGTGGAGAAGGCAAATGCAAAGCCCTTCCAGATGACTGAAAAACAGTGGGTCCTCTGCAGCTACAGGGGATTCTAGACATTAACTAAAGGCCAGCAAGCACTCAAGTCCCCAAGTGTTTTCCTGGTGTAATCACTTGTTAACTCCATTTTCTTTTTTTCTTTTTTCTTTTTTTATCTTTTTTATATCTTTAGGGTGTTACAGTAACTTGAAAGGCAATGAACAGGGGTTTTGGAACTTACCTTAATGTGCTGAGAAGAGAACACTTCTTACAGAAGTCTTCTTAAACTCTTCTAGATTTACTTCAGAAGTAATTTATTTCAGATATGCTGTTTCTTGATCTACTTTAAAAATAATTAATTTTCTCAAGTCTCATGAATACAGTAGCATCTCTGCAATTTAAGTCAGATTATACTAGTAAACCTTATGGTCTGTGGTCAGATCATTGTTAAAGCAGCGTAATTCTAGTGGCGCTCTAATGAGGGCAGAGTAACAGTTTTGGCTTACAAATAAAATTTAAAAGGAATTAAGCACGTAAGTCTTAATTATTGATTTCTGAATTTGCGACATGACCTGTACTTTAGTTATTTTGCAGTGTACAGAATACCTTCCGAAAGTTGTAGCCTATTTGCTATAGTAAGCGGTGGAATTTAAAGGAATCTTTGCATTTTTTTAACTACTAAATTAAAGCATGCTGTCCATTTGTATTGGTAGCATTTAAATATTCTATGCGGCCCCCTATTTAAGATTGTTAAACTGCCACACGTCACCACTAAGTAACGTGATTTTTCTCTAATTTTATTAGTATAACTTTTTGTCCATTGGGCTTGATGGTGGATAAACCTGACACATGCCCCATAGTTCCAGATCAGAGCATGCTACAGATGCTATGATGCAAGTCTCGCATACACTAATATATTAGGGGGCCTAATTTTATAAAGGAGTTTCTTGTAGGCTGAGCAGCAGTTTGTAGCTCTTGTAATGTTCTTTGCCTAATGATATGGTGTATCACAATAGCCTGCTCTTCTCTACTTAAACGTGTCCTTTATGTTTTTGCATTTGTACCTCTGTAGAATATAGTCTTGATTCTCCCAATGCTTAGGGTTCCAATTCAATGAGATCTTTAAGCACAGAATAACAAGGTGCTTAAAATCAGTGAGATTGCTCATGAGCTTTAGACACACTTAAGTACTGTGCTGAACTGGAGCCCTTTAATTCTTGTTGTGATATTCTGTATTAATGTTCCCTTTTACTAAAGAAAATGTTAATTATTGCCCTGAACATATGATAGTCCCTTCTATCGCAAGCACACACCAACTTTAGCATGTATGGGCGTTTCATGTTGGCTGTTGCTCTTTGTAAAGTCTACGGTAAGGTTTAGAATCAATTGTAATTATCACTGTGATATTCCTAGTTTTGAAGGACCTTTAAAAATTAAAGGTGGCTGTGGGGGGTTATTTAGGTTCTTTGGTTAATGTTTGTTTCTTTTGTCTGTTTCTTTTTCTTTCACTTCTACACATTCATGCAGTATTTCATGGTTCTAACAAAGCAGCAGTAAAAAAAAACTCTTGACGCATGAAAATTAACTGGTGAGGGGCCTCATTGCTTTTTTTTTTTTAAATTGTAGTTTTATATATTCTAAATATTTTTAAAACTTAGAGGATCAAATGCATGATTTTTTTAATGAATGCAGATCTTCTATGAGGTGTCTCGAGATAAGTCTGAGAGGATTTGTGTTTAGATACCAGAAATGTTGTAGTCTCAATAAATTGAAATGTTTAGCTATAATTTATATCCTCCGAGACATAATTTTGCATGCAAAATTACCCCATAATCTCTGTAGGTATGTTAATATATTACTGCATTGATGCCCTTTATCTAAATGACCTTTTTCCCCCCCTCTCCCTCCATAACTTTTGGTATCTAAATTGATGACAGCTCAAATGACCAAGCAAGATAACAGTGCTGTGTATTATACATTTGTTTATATTATCGGCACTTCTCAGTATAGGTGGAAGGAACCATTACCTTTATTTAACAGTGGTTTTTCTTTTTTGTTGTTGTGTTTTACAGTTCTTTTCCCTGGTTCAGCCTGAACTATATACCAGGCCCTGCTGAAAATACCACCCAACAGTTTTCTTCTGCAGCTTATCCAGTTTCTCTTAAGTGCCCTGTACATATTGTATGTTTTATGATGAGATGCAGTTTCTTAATATGTATTACAGAAACACTACTGGTATTTGCAAATATATAGTAAAATTGTATTATTGAACTCTCATTTGGGGGCTTGGGCACATTAACAGATTAATCCATCTGTATAGGGCTTTTGCTGTTGGATAGAATACAAATTATCCACATAAATACTTGTTTCATAGTAGGACCCTTAAGATTTGTTCTATGTGCAGAATAGGTAGTAAACTCAGACACTTGTCTTAGTTGGCTACAAGAGTTTGGGCTGGAAGTTTCTTCTGAAATGACAGTATGTAGTAGCAACCTTGGTACAGTAAACATGGCACATATTGGAACATATGCATTTTACTGCACAGGTAAGGAATGTGCCACAATGTACTGTATTATACACATCCACCCACATATACACAGCGTGTATTTGGAGATCTGCAGAGACTTTCATGTTCATTTGATGAGTCAGCAAAAGCCCTACGCTTGATTCAGCAAAATATTTCCTTACCTTCTCTTAATTTTTACAAAATTTGTGTGGTAGGTGTAAAAGAAATCATAGTGAACTGTACCATATTATTAACCCCTAAATCAAACTTTTTTTGTCTTGTGTATCTTGATTTTTCTGTGTGCTTTATAGTGAAGCAGCCGACACGAGTCGTTGTTCATAAAACAGCTTTTGAAAGTTGAGAGCACACCCCTGGAGAACCGACTGTGCTTGCTTACGTTTGGTTCATGACTTAAAAATCGAGTACAGGTGATGAAATCTTGGCAGTGTTAACAAAAAAGTAGTGTGTATTGTGCTATTTTTTGCTCTAGAAACTTAACCATTTGTAGAGAAAAAGGAACAGTCAAATTTTCACACATTGAAGTTTCATTCTGACATAAAATTTAATGATAAATATTAATAGACATCAAGCTTTGTATTTTAGCCAACATAAGTACTTTCAACAAACTCAGGTGGTCTATCAGGGAGACATTTTCTGGGTGTATTTGTGTATTTTCTGACCATGAGATAGAATGCATTCTAATGCAAGGCTGTTTCTCTGCAGGAGTTATTCCTGATGAGACTAAGGCTTTGTCTCTCTTGGCACCAGCTAATGCTGTGGCAGGTCTGCTGCCTGGAGGTGGACTCCTGCCTACTCCCAACCCACTTTCTCAGGTAGGTTTTCATATTAGATTTAAGTGATACAAATGCTATTTGTATCTATAGTCTGCCAGACCTTAACGGCATTTATGCACGTGCATTTGTCTGCTCCAACGCGCCACGCTCGATTAATCGAGTCTGCTCTGCATGCAAGCTTGATGCACATTTTACCATTTATACAAATGTATGCGCCAAAACACTGGGCACTTTTAAAAGCGGTGCTGCTGTGCAAGCATGTGTACAGATGTCCTAACTTACTTGGCTGATACTTTCTTGGCTTAATAGATATAGCTTGCAAGAAGAAAATTGGCCATGTGCTTAATTAATTGACATGGTGATTTAGTTATAAATATTTATCTACAGTGCTTTCAGTCATCTACCACATCGAACAGTGTGGTGTTAGAGTGACAAACTTCTAGGCAGAAGACAGTATTATTTTTTTATCATTCTCATAATGCTTCCAGTAGTTTCTGATGACCTGTATAAAAGCTTTAATTTTTAGCCGTGGAGAGCATGTGCTTGGTGCCAAACTATTCTAATGCTCTTATTAGAGTTTTATATTGCAGCAATTTCTCAGTTTTACGTCTCTTTACATTAAAACAATCAAATCTCTTAGGGCAGAGAATTGACTGTAGGTACAATTATCACTTGAAGGATTTGTTTCTTCTAGCACAGTCTGAAACATGCTTTACTGTGGAATAAGTTTTAGTACAAGTATGTATACAGGCATCACTGGAAAGTGTAGTGGTAACTAACTCTTTTAGATTCCTTTTTAAATCCATACCACCCAAGCTGCTATTGCCTGTCAGTAGGACTTGGGTGTCTTAACTCTATCAGGCTCCTTTAAAATTTGAGTTTATCTTTTCATAGAATAATATTTAGAGATTTAAGTGCATGCATGTGTATGTGGTTATTTTAAGCTGGGGTTAAGGCACATACTTGGACAGGGAATACATTTACTGAGTATGTTATGTCATAGGTCCTTGTTTCATTAAAAAGATAATTTTTTCTGTCTTTTTTAAATTGATTTTTACTTCTAAAATTGCTGCAAATTGTTGGATATGGGTGTGAGGTTGTTGCATGGCAGCTACATGATTGTTCACTAAACTATAATCCCTCACTGGTCAACACCTGCTGACAAGATGCATTTATGGAGACATGCAGAACCTTGTATTGAGAATGAAGAATGAGGAGGAAAGAAATGTCAGTTTGCAGTGCTTACTATGAATTGTTTTAACTTTTAAATATAAACTACTGGCTTAGAAATCAATACAAAAAAAGTATTAAAACACTACAGTAAAATTTCAGAGTAACTTTCTGGCATCGATTGTCACCTTTTAAATGTTTTCAAATATAATAGACAAAGCTTTCCCTGATTTCCCCCTCCCATTCCCAGGGGGGACTGGAGGAAATAATGTCTTTTGGGATACCTAGAGTAGAAACTGATATTTCTCATTTTGCAAATTTCTGTTTAAAAAAAACACAGGGTGCTCTTAGTTAACTTCTTGTGAAAGAATTTGCCATATATGGAGTCCTGTATTGAGTTTTAGTTAGGAATCCATATAATATCTTGGATGATAGATGTTAATTGTACCATTGCATATGTTACAGATTGGTGCTGTTCCTTTAGCTGCTTTGGGAGCTCCTGCTCTTGATCCTGCCCTAGCTGCACTTGGTCTTCCTGGAGCAAACTTAAACTCTCAGGTATAAAATTCACCGTTTTATTTAATGTCTCTGGCGGACTAAGGATCTCATCATCGTGGAATACCTCCAATATTCACTGTTGTGTTAAGTCACTGAGTCAAGATCTGGACCAATCACATGAGCTGAATAGGTGCTACAAAAACATTGCTATACCAAGAGACCATTGAACGCTTAGAGCACAGTCTTCAAATGGTGTATAACACTGGTCAGCAACATTTTCAGGCTGCGGACTAGAATGTGACCCAGTTTGGGTTGAGCCAAGTTCTGGGACCCAGCTCCAGCCAGGTCTTTTTTCTGTGGTGGGCTGGGGAGAATAAATGTCACCAAAGCCACATGTTCACAGGCCAGACTGAATGGCTCTGTGGTCCAGATCTGGCCTGTACAGTATAGGTTGCTATGCAGCATTGAGCTAGCTCTACTAGACTTTAACATGCCAGATGATAAATTAATGGGGGAAAATAATGAAAAAATATTTCATTGGTAGAACAGCACAAACATGTTCTGAACTTAATAACATTCTATCCAAGGATTACAGATGGCTTTCTAAATCTATAGATTTAGAAAGATCATGCAGGTTTCTGCTGATACTGTAGAGTTTCTAAAACAGTGCTTTTATGGAAATGGGTGGGAAAATTCATAAATAATCATCCTAAGTAACACTTTCATAATGGATGTTATGTTGACTCAGTGTGTCATGACTGTCAGCTTGTATGCTAGAGCAGTTCTGCGTGCGGGTGGGCTCACAGACAGGCCATGTGTCCTGGATCCAGCATGCAAGGCCTGTCTGGCATACTGTATTATACCTTTCATGCAGCATATGCCCTACGCTGGGTGCAAATGAATTCGATAACCCTGATTTAGACAGTTTCATTGTGTGCTGTCTTTAGGTCTTACAACAAAAATGAATATGTTGATCATAATTACATATTTTTACCAACAGGAGTTGAACCATTGTAACTATACAATAGTAAAATATAACTTTGAAGCTGTTTTTCTTTCTGGTGGCTTATGAGGCTGATGGCAATGCAGCTTGTACAGTTGGTCAGTTCAGCAAACATTACCTATGGGAATGAAGTAGAAAGTTTGTTAATATGCCAAGTCTAGCAAGCAGCCTTAAGTACAGGTTTGTGTGAACTGGATTTTTTCTAAGAACAGAAAAGTCTTAATTTCTAGCTTAGTTGGTACACTACCAAAACAGTTCCCTTCTCATTCCTTACTCTAAGTATGTCTTAGAGATATCTGTGCCAGATCAGTGTCTTATTAAGCCATAAGGACATAATTTATAGACACTATGAATGATTGAGAAAAGTGTCTTGATTCCTTCCTGGAAAGATGCTAATAAGGGTATGGACATTCATTTTTAAAGCACTATAAAGTGCTTTACAAAAATAGACTTAAGGGGGTAGACAGATGTTTTAAACTATGGATGGAAAGCTACAAAAATCATCTCAGGGGCATGCTCTCCAGCCAGGGGGCTGCTGTTTTGGTCTCCCTACCCCCAGGGAAACCTCTCAGTGAACTCTTCCTGCTGCTGCTGTCACTAGAGGAACAGAAGATTTTCCAGCTAATCCAGCAGGAGCTGTGGCAGTGGGAAGAGGTTCCATGGCCTTGCAAGAACCTGGGGCACCTCGTGTCTGCTGCCATTAGCAACAGGTGGTGTGCTCCCTCAGTGGTGGCGGCAGTGGCACCTGTTCCTGCTAGTGCTGCTGCTGCAAGAACACTGGCAACAGGTTGGAGGAGGCAGAGAGAGTGAGTGGAGGACTGGGGTGTTGGAGGACCAAGGAGACTCCCTGTAGTACTACATGCAACTAGACAAGCATTGCATAGAGGGCTGCAAAAGGACTTGGTACTATAGACGATTCTTTTTGCAAGAGGAATGCTTGTTGCAAATCTGCCATTTTGGTTGTACTACAGTCTACAGATGGTATGCATGTCTGTCCACTAGTTTTTGGTAGTGCTACAAATGTGTTTGTAGTGCCATAAATGAAGTGGATGCCGATGTTCTAACTGGCATGTTAAAAGGAAAGCACTTAAGGGTTATGTGGCCTTTCTGGAGAAAGGGCTATGTTCTAAGAAGGAACAGTCAGCATATCTTGCTGAAACAAGGATTTCAAAACAGAATGAGGGCATATTAATGCCTGAGGTTTTTTTCAGCCATAAGCACTTCATGTTCTTGCTTGTTCTATGTGTATTCGAGCATGTTTAGAATGCATACTTCTTGAGCACGCTTCTAAATGTGGTTTTATATTTTTCAGTCTCTTGCAGCAGATCAGCTACTAAAACTCATGAGCACAGTGGATCCAAAGTAAGTTTACTAATATTATTGATAATATATTAAGAATACTGGTATCCTCAACTTGTTATAATGCAGTACACTTAATCTTGGGTTATCATCTTATATTACTTGGTATTTACCCCATTTCTTAGGTCTAGCCAAATAGTGAGATAAATTGTCTTTCTACAAAACCTACAACAGAGGTTTTGTCTGAGAGTGAGGTACAGTAAGGGGGCTCATCTTGTCTAATGTATTTGTGGTAGAAAATTCAGTTTGGAAAGAAGCTGGGAGTGACTAAGGTTTTGATATTGTTAAATTTGAGCAATAGTCTAGAATCAGAAGATTGATGATATTTAACAAATCTTTCTAGAAAAGAAATCACATGCACAAGTATTTTAATGGTGAGCAACTGGTTTAGCAGCACTAGTGTAAAAAAGGATCTGGGGAGTATATATCATCCCTTTTCTGGACTCTCCAGGAATAAGAAATCTGGAAAATGTACCTGTTAAGAAAATTTGAAGGAATTCTGGGTTTATTTTGTATAAAGAAGAGAAGGGTAGAAGTCATGAAAAGTCTTCTGTTTATGTAAGAAGTTGCTATAAAGAGGACAGTGATCCGTTGCTGTATGTGTCTACTGAGGGCAAGTAGGAATTTGTGTTCAATTTTGCAGCAGAGATTTAGGTTAGATATTAGATCTTTCAGACTCTTTTTATAGTTAAGCACTAAAACAGGCTACATAGAGAAGTTTTGGAATTTTGTTCAATGGAAGTTTTTAAGGACATATTACACAAATGTTTTTCAGGCACAGTTTTAGAGCGTAGGGACAGAGTTACGTGACTTAGGTAAGTTGGGGTGGGAAATACCGCCATATTTTTACAAGTCTCCAATCTAATTTCCAAGAACAAGATGCTAACATGGAGGTCTTCCTTGTATGAGTGACACACTTCAAATTTGTTTACTGTGTCCCCTGAGGAATTACCCTTTCACTTGTTCAACCTCAAGACCCCTATTACTTTTGCAAAAATACGTAAAGTGACATTAGAAATGGGAGTCTGCTCAAAATAGCATTTGGAACCTTTTGCTGTTTGCACATTGGTGTAATAAATGCTAAAATAAGATGCCTTGTACCTCTGGCAGCACACAGCAGGTTTCAGAATCTACTGTATATCAGTGCTCCTTTAGGGAGAACTTGCAGGATGTGGGGCCTATGATGTAGCTATACCAGTATGGCAATGAGTACCATATTTTCTTGCATACACACGCTCCAGAATAAAATACACACCTTGTTTTTGAAAGAATGAAGAAGAAAAGATGGCTGCATAGAACCATGACAAAGCCTAATCTTCAGCTGACTTACCCTTCTTTTCCTGCTTAACTAAAGCTGAAACCCTAGCCATTACTGAAGACTAGTCTATGTGGGTAGATCTGTGATTTTGAAAAGAGCTAAATAGTCTCCAAAGCCGTGCGAGAGGAGAAAGGAGATCAGGAGTAGCTAGCAGACAGCAAGATTGCCCTAAGAAAAGCTAGTTTGATTAGTGGAACATCAAAACTTACCAAGGAATGATGATTGTTAACACCTTGAAGTGAAGAACAGTGAGTCATTACATCAGTTGACTTCCTCAGCTGCCTGAATAGTAATGCAACAGCTGCTGCAGTGTAGAGTAGGAATCAAAGCAGGGTGCTTCTGTCCTAGCCAGAAAATTGGCTTCCCCACTTGATACATGCACCCCAGTTTTTGGAGGGGGCTGCTTTTTGAGGGGGAAAAGTACATGTGGTATGAGAAACAATACAGCGAATGTCACACAGACTCATAAGGTGGGCACAGTACTTTGTTTCTGAGCAGCAGGGAGACCCAGAGGGAGATTGACTTTCAGTTGAGATTCCTTCTAAGACACTTACACCAGTGCTTTGGGTAGGCTGCAAACTGACTGGTTCGTGCTATAGCTTTATATTCGACAGTAGTGAATTTTGAAATTTTATTTTAACATAATGGCTTGTTCTAGGTTGAACCATGTAGCTGCAGGTCTTGTCTCACCAAGCCTGAAATCAGATACCTCCAGTAAAGAAATAGAGGAAGCTATGAAAAGAGTACGTGAAGCACAGTCACTCATTTCTGCTGCTATAGAGCCAGGTAATTTAACTTTTGAAAGTGAAATTAGTGTGTTGTAATTAAATACAAATTTTAGTATCATAATAGATAAAGATGTATAATGTGCAAAATGAGTTAATATTGCGTTGTTTATGAATTAATTTTTACTGTATAGTATTTTTATTTTCCTGTAGAAAATAAAAATATATCATTGACTCACCGGATGTTCAGCTAAAGCACACTTCTTATTCTAGGCCAGTGGTGTTCAGTCTCTGGCCCCATGCTCTAGTTCCCATGTGTGGGGTTTGTCCACCTGTGCAGTCTGGTGCATGGGCTGCCACAACATCTGGACTGTGGCAGCCCCCCGTCGGTCTGGAAATTTTGTAGTGGAGCAGTGGTGGCAGCAATAATTGCCTGGGAGTAATTAACGGGGTGTAATTGTTTTAAATCACTGGTCAGGAAATTTCAATTTAATCACTGTTTTCTACAAAAAGTGCATTCTTGTTGTTTGATGATAACCTTCATTAAAATATTCTCAAACAGGGTCTCTTACAGCCTGGCAAGCCTCCTGCCATAATAGGTGTCCCTTCTACCATACCATTCCTTCACTAGATCTCAAAACAGTGGAGGGGCTACACTCAAACTTATCCCTCAAGACTTCTGGAATAGTCTGCTGAAAATGTTTCTCTTTTGTTTCTACTGCCTCTGCCTCCTTGCTTTTATCTTCAGACTCCTCCTCCTCCTTGCCCAGATCTACTCCACCCCCAGCAATCCTCTATTCATTTAACTTCTTGAAACTTTGCACTTTTAGAGAGAGGTAAGGGCTTGACTGTGTGTACGCAAACTTGAAAGACAACAGGGCTCATGGGTAGGTAATTGAGTGTGTTATCTTTTATCTCTCATCTCCATGTACTGCTGTTAACAAGGATGTTACCTCTGGAGAGACAAATCCACAGTTTGAGAACTGAAACTAAGTATCACAGAGTTTCTTAATGGGATCTTCTAGACTGAGCACTGAGTCCCATTGGGCTCAGTGGTGTTCTTTAATCTTTACTAATCTATAGAGGAGCCTCTGGGAACCCCATAAGATTGGGCCCCTGATATAGTCCATGGCCTGTTGTGACCTATTTATAAAACTTTTCTAGATAGGTTACATGAATATATTGTCTCAAATATACTGTGTATAATTAGAAATTATAGTCCCTATTCCATGATGAAATCTTTGAGCTTTAACATATTTTAAATTAAAAATATCTTTATATAAAGGTTTATTTTTTTTAAAAATGCATCTTAAAAATACAAAAAAATACAACTAAATAAAAAAAATCTTATTTAAATAAAAATCCATTTTTTAAAATTGTTTATTTTTATCCATCCTGGTAATTAACACTGCTACTGCTCCCCCACCACCAAATTTCTTGGCCTGTAGACCAAAAGTTGAGCACCACTCTTTTAGGTTGGTTGATTGAACACTGGTAGAGCAAGCTCGAGAACAAACAGGAATAAGTTATGCACGTTTTGGAAAGAACTTATATGTTTTGAAAATGAGCTCTATTACCAGTTTTTGCTGAACACATCAGGTGCTTCCAAGAATATGAACTCTGGTCTTATTAATTGTTGGGGGTTTTTCACTGTAGGGACTCCCTTAAAGGAGCCAAAAATGGCACTGAGAGGTTTCCTAGCCTCAGTTGAATTAGCAAGAATGATAAAACTTTGATATCAAAGTTTTTTTTTCTTTCAACACTAGTATCAATGTAACTTGAATCTTCATTAGTTTGATGAAAAATCACATTGCCAAATAAGGTTTCATGTTACAGCTGTGTTAGTTATTTGCTAGTTTTCCAGTAACATGGTCTGAGAACCAAAACGACAGACCCAAATTTCTACTATAAAGAGATAAGAACAAATAAACAAAAAATAGCAACCCGGTAGGCTTTCCCTTTCTTTGTCTTGTCAGCACCGTTTTTTTTTCTCTTATGAATCTCCTTGAAAACTAACAGCTTTATTTTGGTTTTGCATTAACATTTTTCCATTTTAACACTAGATAAAAAAGATGAAAAACGAAGGCATTCAAGATCACGATCACGATCGCGGAGGAGGAGAACTCCTTCTTCTTCTAGACACAGGTTAAATTGCTTGATAATGTAAACAAGTCAAACTGTCTGAAATAATTCCAGTTACCTTTAAAAACTAAGCTTGTCTCATACAGAGAAGGGCAGGGGGAGTGAAGGTTGATAATTGGTCAGTGTGGGGTATGTGAGTAAGCCCAACTTCTGTAGCAAGCTAGGAACCTGAGTTGGAAAATGACTTTGTAGAACAGACTCAAACTGTATTGAGCATAAGGAGCTGCATGGGCATCTTCCAAAAGCTGCATAGAGTTGCCAGCTGACATCTGGTTCCAAGCAAATGAGCCTGGTTTCTGGCAGTGCAACTCAAACAAAATGAGTCTTGGTGTTTTTATTCACTATCTTGAGCCCTTTATATTGCAAAGTTCTGATGCTTTAAATCTGCCCTCTCTTTCATTTTTACTTTAATATTCCAGTGATCCTGGTCATCACTTGTCTAGATTTTTGCATTCCCTTTCTAAAGTGCCCATATTTTCAAAGTCCAGCACTGAGAAGTTGGAAGTTCTGTAACAATGTACTTTTGAGATGGGAAATACTCTTTTTTTTTTTTTTTTTTTTTTTTTT